GAAAAATGAGACATAAAAAATGGGGCTGCATTTTCGACAGTGCCCCAGGGCGCCAAATTTCTAAATCCGACCCTGTATATATATATCTATTCATATATGTAGCACTTTCAGATTGTATAAAGCCAGATAAAAAAATTTCATTTGCAACAATGTATCGAGCACCAGTTCCATTATACGTAAATTTGCTGATATAAATTAATTCTGATAAGTAAATACATTGTAATCTGATAAGTAACATAGATAAAATTGTAAGCACGTGAACAAATCTGGAGCGATACTTTCTAATTTTACATTTATTGTACAAGCACAATGCCTTTCATAATGTTTATGTAATGGTAATTGTACGATTTGAAAATAATTGAAAACGTTAGCGTAATGATTCATTGTAATTATTATGAAACAAATAGCTATAAAAATATATACCGATCAATAAAACTGGTATTAATCAATATTATCCAAATACGCACGTAATACCTATTAGGTAAAAATACCTTGATAAGAACGAATATTTTACACACGAAGTGTTCATTACAAAAAAATTTTATCTGGTACCCCACAACTAACATTACAAATTCAAAAGATATATAAATTATTTGAAGAGTTTTCAAAATTTTCTGATTTTGGGTAATATAATTATGATATGTTGTTTTCTATCTTTACTTAAAGTTATTTTGACTTATCTAATGTAAATCAAAAAAACTTGTAGAATATAACTAAGTTCTGACTGTTATTAATAAAAGGAATAAAATAATTTACTCACAATTATAGTAGAGTAGTGAGAATATATTACCGTAAGAGTAAATATTTAAAATCAATTAAATTAATAATTTTATTATGATGGTAATTTTATTTTAATATAGTACATTTATAGAAAATGATACAATAAATTGCAAATATTTTAATATATAATCCAATATATAATAATATATAGTCCAATATTACATAAAAAAATATTTTAATATAAAATGTCATTGCTAATTGTAGGTGCTAAAACTATATATCAATAGGTAATGTGTTATACCTATTTTTTTAATATTGCTAATTTAAATTATTAGCATGACTTTATAATCACCAATTCAACATGCATTATCTCAAAACTTAAGAATATTCTCTAATAATATTTTAATTTACTTACAATTATCATGAACATTTATTTATTTAAGACGTTGGGTAATTCAATTACACGAGGATTTAAAAAGTATGAAATGATGATTTACATATAAATCTTATTTAATAAATGACACTAATATTCATCCATTACAGATATATTGTAGTCAATGGGATTTTACAATACTACTTTGAATTGAAAATAGAATTTAAGATATAGAATTTAAATTGAAATCTAAAAGAATCTAAAAAAATTAAGTTCTGACTTAGAGAGAGGCTATTAATCACGTGAAGCTTAAAAGGTGAGGAGGGGTTTGACAAAAAATCACAAAATATTACGTGGTAAGAGAAAGGGGTCTAGTAAGGTATCTCGTGTAATTATTTTTTACCTGATTAAAAAAAATCCTAAATTTTTTAAAAAAATATCCAAAAATATACGTGATGTTACTTACGTTGGGTAAATTTAATTCCTTAGAATTTATGAACTTGCAGCCCTATCACTCATAATTTTGAGGAATGTTATAATAATTTAATAGCGCTCAAAAGATTATAGAGTTTTATGCAGTAACTGAGATTTTATATTTTAATGCAGTACTGAGTAATTATTCATATCAAATATATGTAAATAATAAGTACTTAGATACATATTATACTGTACAATGATTAATTAAATACAAATGTAAACAAAACTTGATTTGCATCATTAAAATTTTGGGTTTGGGAACTCCATATCGCAGTGTAAATTAAATCTGGTACATTCTGCGTTAAATTGAATGTAGAATGTAAATCTTGTAGGCAAAGAGTTTCGTGATTGAAATTAATATACGGATATTAATATACGGTACATACGGATATTTTCATTTGTTATACTTTTTAGTAATTTTGTAATTTCTTTAAACTTTGTAAAAAAATTATTTTATTCACTTATAGATTTTTTTATATACGTTTTAGTACAAGTTTTTGTTTTGATGTCATAGGTCAAAATATTTTTAATCATCTGTTTAGTAATAATAAAGAGTGCTACGTTTCGGCACGGCATGTGTGTCATCAATCAGCACGTTGATCAAATTCTAATTACAAGGTTTAAAAGAATTACAAAATTACTAGAAGAACAAATGAAAATATGCAAGACTACTCGTTTTGTTTTTTTGCGAAGAAAATTGTGTGTTCTGTTTTTTTACTGGTTTGGCATGTATATAAGGATATATTCATTTGGTATATTTTCTAGTAATTTTGTAATTCTTTTAAACTTTGTAAAAAAATTGTAGAATTTGTTAAACATGCTGAATGATGACACACATACTGTGTAGAAACGTACATAATAATTAATTATTTATTGTTTTAATGTTGTTTGTAATGAAAAAAAAAAAACAAATTGAAAACCTACTAAGGATAAAATATACAAACAAAAATAAATCATTGCAAACTAGATATATGACACTTATCGAAACACCACATTCACTTTGAAAAGTATTCTACTGGGCCACGATTATCTAACCCTGAGAATCATTACGCCATATGAAAGTAATTCTTAATTATCAAATGCCTAACGATAATGACATTTTAATCTTAAATAAATTATATTGCAAACAGATACAATTTTGCTCTATAATAAAAAAAAAACTTATCCACTTACATCTTCAGTTGTTTTTCCCTTATGTTTATAGGTTAAGTTATCACAGATAATTACAAAAATATTGTCAATTTTCAGCTTTCCATTTAATCACTTTTTGGTAGCAAAACAAATTATAACATAACGAATAAAAAATCACAAACAAAACGTCGTAATAACCGCAAAATAAAATTATTTTTTACACAAATTAACGAACACTGTGACCACTACGAACAAAATCCTGCTACTACTCTGACATTTGCCATGCGTTAAATGTGCGCTTGCGCTGCGCTTTGGCAAGTTCATGCAATCAGCAAAAGATGCCATGTGTTGTAAAATACACTGTAAAGCAAAAGATAACATTTAAATCTTAAATCCAGGCGGTAGATTCACCCTAGACCTAGATACAGTCAAATATCTAGGTTTACACCTGGATAAGAGACTAACCTGGAAAGAACACATTAAGAAAAAAAGGAAGCAGCTTGAAGAAACCAGAAGAAGATATCATTGGCTTCTTTTATCTATGATTATATTCTTTATTATACTCCTCTTTTATCTATGATTGGCTCCTTGGACGAAAATCAAAACTTGACACGCATAATAAAATTTACCCTTAAAAAGCCATCATTAAACCAATTTGGACATACGGCATACAGCCATGGGGATCAACTTCCAACTCAAACGCTTTAATAATTCAAAATTTCAAAACAGGTTATTAAAAGAAATTTTGAAAGCACCATATAGTATGTTCCAAATTGGTTAATACACAAAGACACAGCCACTAGCACAGTTAAGGATGAAATAATCGCTTACTCACACAAATTTAGAAATCGCCTGATCACACGAACTTGCTCGCGGGAAAACTTCAGAACAACTCTACCAGGGCCCGATTAAAAAGAAAATTTCTTCTGCATTAATCAACAATAGATGAGACCTTCGACAAATCACTGGCAATTTCATGTCAAATATTTTACTTGTTGTCTGTTTCAGGACAGTTGTAAAAGTTATTAAAATAATAAAAAAAAAGATTCACCCTAGACAATATGAGAATATAATATATTCAAATAATATAGTAGATTCACAATATACATACTTCTCCCTTATACTTTATGATGGCCGCTACACAGGATACGATTATTTGTGCAAATTCACGATGTGTAGTATGTTTGAGCAAACTTGCGCACCAATTTCGTACGTTATGTTTGAAGGTATTTGCGCAAACACAGATTTGCACAAATAATCGTATCCTGGGCTTATAGTATACTAAAAGCTACGTTGAAAGATAACTGAGACAATTATCCAAAATTCCAAGATTCCAAATATCTCCAGGACCGTTAATTTTGCGCAAGATTCAAGCAAGAACATTTTGAGCAAACTTCGAGAAGATTATCCTAGTGCTGCTCTTTTATTTGCAGCTTATATTTTTATGCTTTTTATATTTTCATTATTTATATTTTATATAAAATACAATTGAATTGTTTTTATCTAAGGAGAGAGAATGTGTTTACATTTTCTTTGCATTTACCCCAATCCAAACATTACATTAATGACACTGTACATGTTGATCCTATCGTTACAATGATAATGTTCCAATTTAAAGTTTTATCATAAAAAATAGATAAATCATTGAATGCAAATCTTAAAAGTACATATTATGTTATACTTATTTCATAAAGGAGTAATACGCAATATTTCAATCTAAATTATTTGAAGCAGACTTTAACGTTATAGATCAACATAACGTTGAAATTACAGTTTTCAGTTAAAACAGTGAACTTTTTTTTTTTCAAATAAGTAAAAACATATAATCGGAACCAAAAATAAAAAATCAAGACGCACAAATTGGTTTGTACATATTTTTTATCAATTATTGATAGTTGAAAAAATAAATTGATATCGAATTCGTTTTCACTTCCACATATCCAAAGAATTCAAATGAACTATATCATTATTACTTTGTCAATGACATACAATTATTTGATAATAAAACAGGGGAAATCTAAAGCTGTGAGAATTTGAGTTTTCAAGTTGTCAAGAACATTACATGGCTATTTATGAAAAATTTTAATTATATAATAATCTTTAAATGTACTCTGCAATTTATTCCTCTTCTCATTAAGTGAGCGAATATGCATGAATTCAAAAATGTTGAAGTTTTATTATTTTGATAATTTAAAGTGACTCATAAATTTCCTTCATTCAAATCCTTACTAAAATTTCTAAAAACAACTAAATTTTTAAATAATATAATAAATATATTAAAATGTATCTACATCTTTGTACTTTATTCAATATCGAGCTACTTTGATAATAAAATATCTCTAATCAACAAGCTAAATTTTCACTAAAGAATTTGTGATTAAGAGCTTCTGCTGCTGTGATTCTAGTGAAAGGGTTAACATCTAACAGTTTTGATAAAAGATCATATGTTGAATCAGGAAAATCTTCTGCGCTCCTCTTCTGAAAATTAATGCTTAACACATTAAAATTTAATGTAATGTAATTAGAATATTTATAACATTAAAATTAAATCATTTGTACAATCAATTACTGTAATTTGTTTTAAAATTTACATATGCTAATTATGACATAACTTCTAATCAATAAAATGGAATTTTCATTAAGCCATGCAAAACGATTTCAACTATACTACATTCAAATCCAAAGATAAAAAAAAATTGAAATAAATAAAAGAAGTGTTTCACTCAACATATGTAGTGTATAAAAAAACTAAATGTTAAAACATCAGAGAAATAACTCACTTTGAACTTCAAGTAGCTTTTATTGAAACAATCTCTTTGCCTTAAAATTGTGCAGACTTCCCTCAAATTACTTTCTTTTAAATGTGGGCAATCCATAGTAATTGATCTCTCTGAAAAGTAATTCAAAATAGTTAATATACTGAAACAAGTATATTTAAATTGCACTAATATGTTATAATATCTTTCAAAACTTTTATTAAATATAAAAAACAAACATTTCCATTTTCAAACTAATACTAAATTATATATAATATAATATTAGTATATATATTAGTAATACTCACTCAATAATGTAGCTAAGTTCTTTATTTTTGTTGTACCAAAGAGAGTTATTTGTTCCGCTAATGCTGTCAAATCATCAGGAGCATCAAAAAAGGGATAGCATCGTGACAAAATACATAATAATATTATTCCAACTGCCCAAATATCCACAGCTTTTAACAAATAAAAGAAGAATAAGTTACATAGGATAAAAAACAGGTAAAAGATTAGTTACATAAATATTAATTGCACATATCAGGAACAATTTTAACTATGTTATAGATAGTGATTTTTATTCAGGCTGTTAATTAAGCCAATATATTGTAATAGTTTTTTTTAATAGTAATCAACTATTGAAACATACCTGTAGTTTGATCAGTATATTTTAACAAGACTTCAGGTGGACGAAACCCTCTAGTTCCATTTCTATTGGCTGGAATAGGTTTTCTGCTTCTACAAATTAGACAGACACAAGACTTTCCAAGGCATTCACACATTTTTTCTGCTTTGATTTTATTTTTATTATTATTCTGAATACTAGATTTTAATGCTAGTAACGACTTTCTGCTATCTCGCAGCCTGGCATTTGTGTTATATTTAACTTTACTACTGGCTTCTACATTAGTTGACACTTTTTCTATATTCTTGCTTGACAATGAGTTTGCTATATTATTTTTTTCATTTTGCAATTTTTCCGGGATAGGAGAACTAACTTGAGTATTTGATTTTGTATCAAATAAATTTGATACGCTATTTCTTTTGGGTAAGGGAGATGTAAATGTAAATGCCTAAAAGTATATAATTCTCTTGAACAATAAATAAAACTAAATATACATATGAATTATAGCTAAATTTTAAAGATTAACACGAAATTACCTTATTTTGTTCTGAATCCATTAAATTACTTCTTAAACCCAACCTAAGCATGGTACGTCTATCATTTGATACCAAAGAGTTTCTCCTATTTTGGGTTAGGCTATTACTATTTAAATTATTTGATGGCTTTAGTGGGGACTTAATTAAGAATTTATCTAATGTCTTAGGTGTTGTAATAGTTTTATTAGTATCCAATGCTACTTTTTTCCTAACTTGTGCAGGAGATGCTTCGCCTTTGTGATCATTCTAAATAAATATAATCTCAATAATAATTATAAATGGTTATGACAGAATTAGTTTATATAAAATGCATTAAAGAAACTGACATATACCTCACAGTCACTAGCACGCTTTCTTTTATGATCAATGGTAGGAGTAAGGGGGATCAATTTTGGCATTGAAGACATTTTATCATCCACATGATGTGCTAAACCCATATCAACTAACAAAAACCTAAAATGATAAAATGATAAAGCAAAAGTCAAATGATTTATTGATCCTCATAATTAGCAATAATTACTCTTTATTTTTTCTGTCATACAGAAAGTTATCAGGTTTAACATCACGGTGTATTATATTAAATGTATGCACTCGACATAGAGCAATCAGTAAATTTCTAAGATATAATTGGGTCTCTGCAGGTCCCATATCTAGTAAATAATTCTATAAAAAAAAAAAAACAAAAAAAAATTGTTTAATAACGCAATTATGATTTTACGATTATATATATATAATATATGAATACATTTATCTATATATAAATATAAAGTTCCAGCTAATAAATACAAACCGTAAAATCATCATGTTCTAGATACGGCATAACAAATACTACAGAATCCAAATTTCGCATACAGAAATGTAATTTTACTACATTGTCACACCCACTGCAAAATTGATAAATTATTAAAATGAATACAAAAATTGTCAATAGTCTTCTTAATACGGTACCCGGCTTTCTGCAAACACATCAATTCTCTTTCAATTCGCTTGGGGTGAGATGTTGGTAATAAATACTTTATTGCAAACTTTTGTCTCTCTGCAAATGCTAAATCATTCTCTGATTTTAATGTAGATAAGTAAACTGAACTAAAGGTTCCAGAACCTATGCAATTGTGTATTTCAAATATTTCATCCAGCCTTGGTAATGATTTTAACATAATTTCTATTCGTGGATCTAAAAAATTAAAATATTTTCTTCAGATTTTACATTTACTTCCTAGCAGATTCAAATTGAATTAAAAAATGATTGACTATATAAGGCATATGCTTTAGGCATATGCATATGCATACTATAAAAGGCAATGCTAGATAATAACGACATGTTTTCAACTATTAATTAATTGCATCTTTTTGCTCCCAATCTTATTAATATGGTAATGTTATAAAACTTATTTGAGGCATTTCCAAGAAATTTATAAGACAATTGTCATAATAAGGATGTTGAATTAAAATTAATTAGCTCAGAATAAAACTAATATTACTACTAAATCAAATATAAGAGTGTAAATTTTATGATTTACCATGGCTAAAGCGCTTTTCATTATCGTCTGCTGAACTAGAATATTTATCATCGTTTGCATCTTGGGAATTCACTATTAAACTCGACATTTCTAATTTATAACATGAATTGTTTTTATTAATTTAAAGTAAATATAAAAATTGCGATACGTTTATTATAAAATATATGTGACTGCATCATCTTAAGAATAAAAGCGGGAAGCAACAGATGTTTCAATGTTATTACAGAATACAGATGTTTTTGACATTTAGCGATTGTTTCTTATGTTGGCTTTCTTATCATTCCCCAGCCAAGTTCACTCTAAAAGCAAATGTCAAATTATTTGTGTAGAAACGTCAAAAACAGTTTTATTAGAGAAGTTGAATTTTATAGAATTTTTTTTTGATTTATAAATGTATTTATAGAAAATAAAATTTTAAACTATGGGTAATTCTAATATGAAACAGCATTATGAAAATGCACGAAAAACTGGTGTATTAAAGATTTCGAACAGTAAATTGAAAGAATTTCCTCCTCAGCTCAAGCCATTGAATAGTGTACTGAGATCACTTGACTTGTCTGATAACAGATTTGATGCACTGCCCTCTGATATAAGTCATTTTCAACATTTGAAACAACTAAACATAAGTTGTAATAAATTAACACATTTACCAAATGAAATCGGTCTCATTATTAAATTAGAAACTCTCAATGCCAACAACAACTTCATTAATTCCTTACCTAATTCATTGTCTAAATTAAAAAATTTAAAGCAAGTAACATTAAGTGATAATCAATTAGAATCTTTTCCTACTATGCTATGTGGTCTGAAGCATCTTGATTCTCTTGATTTATCCAGGAATAAAATATCAATGGTTCCTGATGAAGTATCAAAGTTATATGTAATGGAATTAATACTCAATCAAAATCAGATATCATTTTTATCCGATTCAATTGCTGATTGTCCTCGACTGAAAACTTTAAGACTAGAGGAAAATTGCTTACCCGTGGAACAAGTTCACCCTAAAATATTGATCGAGTCTAAAATATCTACATTGTGTCTTGATGGAAATTTATTCGATAATAAGCAGCTGCAAAATGTGGAAGGATATGAAAACTATATGGAACGATACACTGCTGTAAAAAAGAAAATGTTTTAATTTAAGGTATTATTAGTAATATTGTTCTATATTTAAATTTGTTTATTATTCCATATATATTTAGTTATAAAAATATTTATTGTATATATGTAGAAATTTTGCTATTCACTTATTTATAGTCATATAATATAGGTCATGCATATTCACATTATGATTAAAAGTGTACATAACTGAGTATTGATGTTAATTTGTTATTAATAAAACTTACTTTATGGCACCTTGAACATGTGCTATTTCTTTTTATTTATTACTATTAAATATTAATCGAATTAATTATTAATTACTGTAAACATGTGATCAAAAATTTTCTAAAATATGTATAGAAATATTACCACAATCTGCCTAATTTTATAAACCTAATTTAAGACAATCTTTTCAAATAATATAAAAATAATTTATTGGTAAAGATGTGTAATAATTGTTTTATTCCACAATGGTTTAAATATTTATGTAGCTTACATTTTTGCAAAACAATATTGACTTTGTCTCGAGCTAGTGACTCGAGCATGACAATAATAATTTTGAAATTCATTTTTATATAATCAGTACATTGCTGTATGGAAAAAATCTCACAATTAAGAACATTCGTGTAACATGTGACTAGAATTGAACGTTCAATAGATCCAAGGAAATTTTTATATAATTTTGCGTTTTATAATCATAAATAACAAGGTTGGCACATTATAATAATATATTTTATAAATTATGTTGATTAGAAATATTAGAAACTTCTATAAGGTTAAATAAGAAAGTATTCCAAATCTAGTTTTATTTAAATAAATGATTGTTTTTTTTAAGATTAATAAGATATGGATGATTTATCAACAGTTTTTTAAAAATCGCAAAAAAAGGAATAAATTTAAAACTGCGGATGATGCATTGGATATCCTTGTGCTCTAAATCGTAGACTAGCAATGCTATTTGTGATACCTCCATAGTCATTTTGTAGATTATTAGTGTAATAAGGGACAACAGTCTGACTATGAGATCCATTTGCAAAACTACAAGATTGGGTCTGATAGTGATTTTGCGACTCATTTGTACTAAACCCAGGTGAATTATAATTATTATTGTAATATGGAGAAGTCTTTGCAAACATACCAGCCATCATGGTTGGATAATGATTAAAATTTGCTGTTTGAGATTTCCAATCAGAATAATGAGGAGCTATGCAATCTAATGCTTGCCGATGGTTAGGAATTGATGGGCAGGTTGAGCTGTCGTTGGTTCTCATTGGTGTCGCGGTCGGTGGTACTGGTGCGACCACCGTTTCGGGTGCAGAGGCATTGGAGCCGCGGGAAGAAAGCGCACTGCGTTCATTACGTCGAAATTTTGCTCGTCTATTTTGAAACCATACCTGAAAAAAAGATTATTAACACATCATAATATTGTCTAATATGTATTAGAAATTGTAGTGTAATTGGCATGTGAATACAACAGAATATAAAAGCGAAAAAGCTATCAGTTGGTAACGAACACTGCAATATAATTAGCAAAATGGTATAAATTTAATTTATATTTATAAGAAATGTAACCATAACATCTCAGGTTTGACGGGAGAGTACCGCATTTCTATTTTACGTTTCGGATTTTTTAGAGGCAATATTTGTCTCGAATTTGCTTTTTTTATACCGAATTCTCTCGAACTTATTTTACTACAAATATTTTTGATATTCTGAGACATATGAATCAAATCCCATTGGTCTAACATAATAAATCTTTCCCCTTTGGCAGGCTCTCTTGCTGTTAGATTATCACGGTAGGTTACAGCTACCTTACTGTTAGATTACCTTATTATGAGATTTTGTTCAATTAATATTAAATACAATATTTTAAAAAACCTTCAATTGTTTGTTTTGCAAAAGAACACAAAGCTATATCGAATGTGAAGAATGATCAATTTGATATCACGATGAAACCTTCATTTCTTTAATTATTACTAGTAAATCTTCTCTAATTATTACTTGTACTCTAGCTTCGCTGAGTCCAACCCGAACCGCCAATTCTTCTCTAACAAACGCATCAGGATAATGAGTGCGTTCGAAAACGCGCTCCAGGGCAGCTAATTGACCTGCACTAAATGTCGTTCGATTTCTGCGCGGTTTTTTTGAACTGCTTCGAGGTATATTTTCAGTTCCGATTTCTGTTAAACCAGCAGGCGAAGGCTCATTGTCTTCACTTCCATCGTTGACGCTGCCGTCGGATTCGTCACCTGATAATAATTTGAATTAATTATTAATGGACCCATTTACAGAATATAGAAATGAACAATTTTTTGCATTTGAAAATAGATTGATTTTTTAAAATGTGCTCAAATTCATAAATTATATTACATTATTGCTTGAACAGTAAAGGGTGTCATATCATGAAAATATACATACAAAATTTGAAATTACTTCGACTAATATAATTAAAAGCTAGATACTATTTGCCGTATGACTTAAATACTAAGAGAATAAATATCATACCAGTGGAATAATTAGATATTCTATACTTTAGGAATTATATACTTTATACAATTAATTACTAAAACAATTTTTTCATAAGCGTTTTTTTCAAAACTCTGAAATGATGCCCAGTCTGAATTTTATTTTGAATTTATAAAGACAAACATTTGCGGCCAAACCGCAAAATGTGAAATTTGTGATTGAAAGAAAAATCTTCGAAATTCTAAAATAAATAATATAATTGATTGTTTCTCAAAATGAAATATACTGCTTGTTTTGTAGCAACCGCTGTGGTGTTACGCTAATAGCTTAGTCCTAGAAATTAATGAACCAAATACACAAAAGTAATTACCGCCGAGAAGAAAACATAAGAATTCCAAACTCAGCAATTTGTTAGATTTATTTTTATACATTTTGTGTTTGGTCAATTAACTAAGTAATTAGGACATCGCCTATAACCTATCGACAATTAAATTTTATACTAAGAACACAAATATATTAAATATTATCAATTCAAATATTAAAATAAAAAAAATTTTTTTTTGATAAATATATGACATTAAATACGAAAATAGGATAATACAATAAAGAATATCAAATACGAATGGAACGAATACAAAAAAAACATTCCTTAATCCTGATATGCATATGATGCTGTACATGCTAATCAGGCAATTTTTATTCCTACCCAATTCTGATATGTTTAAAAAAATGAAAATATTTTAAAAATTCAAGATTTTAATATTTAAATAATTATACTGGAAGCGACCATATTTTTTTAAATAAATAATATTTTAAACTATTTATGGTTTGGACAAATCCAGTAATCGCGAAATTATATCAAAATTATATATAGTAATCGCAAAATTATATCAAAAGACAATTTTTATTCCTACCCAATTTTGATATGTTTAAAAAAAAATGAAAATATTTTAAAAATTCAAGATTTTATTATTTAAATAATTATACTGGAAGCGACCATATTTTTTAAAATAAACTATTTAAAATAAACTATTTATGGTTTGGACAAATCCAGTAATCGCGAAATTATATCAAAATGTATTTATTTACGCAAAGAAAAATTATATAGTATAATATTATGATTAAAATAAAATATAATGGTATGTTTACAACATGATCTTTAATAGGAACTATAATAACTAGCACAATTAAGTAAGAAAGAGTCGCTCAGAACCTTTAGTGCTTATAATTATTCAATAATATATATTACTGCAATTATAAATATGTTGTCAAACTTATTATTCATTAAATGTCTGAATTGACCTCTCATCAGTGCATATTCTTATGAATATTATCGATCTATTATTAAAATAATTAAAACAAATAAAAATCATTTTGAAAAATAGCCTTTTTTCAGTTTCAATAAAATTCTAGTTTGATTGAAATCTTTCGAACAAATCTCATTCATCCTAGTACTCATTTATTACTACTGAGCCGCTACTTCTACTTTGCCGTAATTTCACAATTATGATGGGTTCAAACTACAAAATTTGAACATAAAATGCGAAAAATGGGATATAGAAATTGAATTTCATAATTATTGCAATCAAAAATCTGTATATAAACTGCAAATAGCAAAACCTATAGATAAAATTCAAAGGGCACAAATAAAATTTTTATATCGTTAGCTGCAAAAATATCTTGCTTAATATTTTTTAATATGTAAAATGATATTTTGAAAAGAATATTAGTAGATAAATTATTAATAATATTACTATTGAAAGTGAAAAAGTTACACTAGATACTTATAAATTCATTTTTTTATTATAATTAGTTAGCTTCTTACTATATGTTTAGTATTTCGGGGGTTAGAAAATAAGAGTTTACTTTTGTCGAATTAAATTCAATTATCTTCAAATTTTATCAATTTTTGTGAAATATAATATAAGATGATTGAATGCAATATAGTAAAGGGTCCGCCATATAACTTTTTTTTATTGGTAGCAATTTAGAATTTTTTGACAGTCATTTAAAAGTTAGACAGCCATTTCAATGAAATTATTTTCGAGTATTAACCAGATGGATTGCACTTTCAAATAGAAAAGATTTAGATTGAGAAAACATTTAGTAGTTTATATATAGCATTTTCAAAAAAAAAGTTAACTGACGGACCCTATAGAAATCAAAATATCAAATCATCAAATATTTACCATCAGTTATCCTAAGATTTTTGCTGTTCTCAAGCTGCAGCAAATTATTAACAGTAAATCTTCGTGAATTTTCACATGTACTATTGGCATTCGCCACCAAAGTTTGCATTAATTCCATATTATTTCCCGAATTTTCCGCAAGTCCATTAGTTTGTAATGAATTTATTTCACGCGACGCCTGTTGATTCGGCATTGGCAGATATGCATCAGGAGGAAAACCGTAACCCAACATATTAAATATATAATTAAATTTTGTTTTTAAATTTAATTATGATAATGGCTATTATTATCCACAAAAAATTTCTTCTTTGGCTAGAACAATGGAAACATGCCCAATGGCAGAGAAGAAAAGAACTTTACAGCACAAATGATTAAATTTATT